CAGCCCTCCGCGTGGACCCCCAGCCTCCCCGCGTGGACCCTCCCGCCCACCCTTCCCGGGGGGACCGCTGCCTCCCACCACGAAGGAGGCCAGGAGCAGAAGCACCCCAGCCTCTCTTCATTTTCTTCCTTTTCCCATCCTGGACCTTGAGCTTCCGCCTGGGCGCTGCCCTGAGCTCTGTGCTCTGCCCTGAGCTCTGTGCTCATGGCTGCTGCTCTACCGCTGGAAAACAACGCCATTTCTGGCTTTTTTGAGTAGCTTATTGGAGATAAAAGTCTCTCAGGGACTTTTCTCCCCGGCAATCCTCAGATCTCAGCCTCCAGAGTTGCTTGGATTAGAGGCGTGAGCCGCCAGCACCCTGTTTATAAGAAGTTGATTTTCTTAGGTATTTGTTACTTTTGTGACAAACTGACCAACATCATGTTGCAGAATGAGCTGCAGAAGCTCACTGCAGACAGGTATGAGATGTCCAAGCAAGAGCTTGGGGTACAGTGAAGCTCAAGGAACTTGGGCGCTTCTTCCAGGTGCTTCCATCAATGCCTGGATGTGTTAGAGGCTGGGCTTGGGTTCAGATACTGGCAGCTAGATGATCAGAGGATAGTCAAGGCAGTGATTATCAGTTAGGAGGCAGACGGTGAGAACACTGACTTCTGACCCTAGATGTCAGTGCCCACCTTGTCATGACAGTAAGAGGTAACGCATTGGTGGTTGCTAGGCAGCAGAGCATTTTCCAGGACAGGAGGGCAGTTCAGGCAGGTTTAGACCCTAAGGTGGGATCATGGACTGACGATCACAACTAGAAGAGGCCCCACTGGCTCAGGCCAATCCCTCCAAGCTCTGGGGAGGTTGCGGGGGGGGGGGGCAGGCAGTGAAGGTTCTCCAAGTCTAGGCCTATATCTCTCTGGTTGGTGGACTGGTCAGAGGATTTGTGTACAGGAAGTCTGGGAGTGGGAGCTGTGAGCCAGAGGAGCTGGACATGCCAGCGGATGGAGGGCAGAGTCCGGGGACTGCTCTGAGGCCCCTGGAGGGGGACATCACGCTACCAAACTGCAGCCACCAGTCCAGGAGGTTGAGTTGGGGTTGAGAAAGAAGTTGGACATGTTTGACATTGCTGGGGTTGAGAGGAAGAGTATCTGGGAAGGTAGGGCTGGGTTGAGAAGTTGACACTTCTGAGCATCCAGGAAGATGGAAGTTAATGGGCTTGGTTTTCTGGGGGACAGGACAGTTGGGGGCACCCTTCTGGATGTGAGTTTAGGCTGTGGGGCTACAGGTTGTGAACAAAGAACCTGGAGAACCAGGGTCTTAACCTTTTGCACAGGGGCCAGCTATCACTGCTGCCTGCCTGCAGCCGTTTCTGCTGCACCCACAGGTGCTCCAGCCCCCTCCAGACTTGGGATCACGTCTCCGTGCTCTTCCTCAGCCTCCAGGGACAGCAGTGGCTCAGTCCTCAGACTGAGGGGTGGCAAGTGGAAGGATGCTCTGTGTCATCCACCTAGCTATCTGGGGTGATAGAACCCGTTGTTGGGGCCATAATCCAATGCCCCAGGGCTGCAGTGAGACCAGGCAAGGGGGCCAGTGCACCTCTGACACCCAGATCTACCATTCCTGGTCTGCGTCCCTGCACTACCACGCCTGGCCTGGGCTTTGCTTTCTCCCCACCGAGAATAGGGAGGCCAATGATGCTCACCTTGCTGGTGGCCAGAACTGACCTATCACAGGCCAGGCCAGAGTCCTGAGGGCTCAGGAGAGCACAGCCCAGATCAGGCCCAACTCTCTTAGAGACCCAGGGAAGCGTGGGTCACCCAGGCACCAGTTCCCTGCAGGTCTAATGTGTCCAGTGAGCATCCAAATTCAGATGCAGCCTGATTGCCCAAGGTAGTGAGGGTGGAGGCAGGGAAGCCCAGACCAGCTCCCGCCACCAAAGTCTGAATGTGGCCACATGCAGAGAGGCTGGGACCAGCCAGGGTCAGATTCTTGGGGAGGCACCTGCCCCCACCTCAGCCCACCGACAGTCCACTCCGGGTCTCACTCCCTACGTCCTGGGCCCACATTTCCAGCGCTGGGCCTCCTTCCAGGGACGCTGGCTCTGGACAGCCCGCAGGACAGTGCGCCTGGGACCCAGCCAGGCGGCCAGACAGTGCTGGTGTGGGGCTGACAGCTGAGGAGAGCAGGCTGGTGGAAATGTATTTTATTAGTTCCCAGACAGGACAGTGGGACCAGGATGGAGTGAGGTGCGGGGCCAGCCCAGGCCTTATGTTCCCTGAGGACAGACGTACGTGGCACCCCGCCGAGGGGCACCCCGCCGAGGGGCCCGTCATGGCCTGGGCCGCTGAGCCCTGCCCTCATCTCCTGGGGAGGTCTGAGAATGGCGGCTGCCTGTTCCTGCCGGACCCTCACTTCCGGGCCTGCTCATAGTGTTCAGTGAACCAAGCACAGGTCTCCTTCACGGCTGGGGAGGCAGACACGGGGGGCTGGTGAGGGGGTGGGGATGAGGAAACCTCCCCGTCTGGTCTGAGTTCTGATGACACCACAGGGTCCCTTCTCCAGGTGCCCGCAGGAATGCTGAGGCCATAGCAAGGAGTCCACACAGGGGTGAGGCCAGAAGGCAGGAGTGAGAACTCACCCTGCTTGAAGGGTGTGAAGCGGAAGTCCGGCAGGTAGGCCCGGAGCTTGCCATTGCTGGCTGTCTTCTTAAACTGCCCATCTGACTTGGTGGTATCAAACTGGGCACACTGGTCAGGGCCACTGCAAAAGGACAACTACCCTACCTCTGCCCCACCCCAGCCCTCTGCCCTCTGCCCACTGAGGCCTGGAGGGACAGCAGCCCGCCCTGCTGCTGCCAGGCTAGGCTCCACCAGAGAGCTGGGCAGTGCTTGCTCAGGCAGCAGGAGACCACGGTGCCCTCCCAGAGCCAAAGGATACCGTGACCTCCCCATGGAAGTCCATGGCCTCCACCACAGCCTCCGCGGCCTCCCTGATGGAGACTTCATCCTCCTCACCCACTGCGGGGAGAAGCAGCGGCCAGTGAGCCTCCACCGAGACCCTCGGGGTCCTCCTGCTCCCTCCCCGCGGTGGGGCAGGGTGGGGACTGCAGGGGTGCTGCCCGCGGTGGGACAGGGTGGGGACTGCAGGGGTGTGCCCCGTGGTCGGGGTGAGTACTGCAGGGGTGTGCCCTGCGGTGGGGACAGGGTGGGGACTGCAGGCCCACCTGAGAGGATGATGGGCTCCACTTCATTGTATTCCCGCAGGACCCAGAGGAAGAGCTTGGCCAGGTCCTGGAGGTCAGAAGGGCAGGTTAACTCCCCAAGTGATGGCCCAACGCCCCTTCGAGGCCACGGGGTGCACCAGGGCCCGTCTTGGATGGCAGCCCCACGCCCTGCCATGCTGAGGTGCACCCGGGGATTCTTGGGACTGGCCTGCCGCCCCCCCCCCCCCCGGCCACTCTCACCAGTGAGTAAATGAACTGCCTCCGCGGCTTCCCCGTGCCCCACACCGTCAGCGCCGAGCCGCTGTCTGCGGGCAGACGCAGGGGTGGGCGTCAGAGCACCCCGGCCACAGCTCCCCCTAGGCGCGGGACCCTGGCCAGGGTGTGCCGGGCAGCCGCACTCACTCTTGGCCAGGTGCACCTTGTGGATGAGGCCGGGCAGCACGTGG